AATGTACTGCAGATGAGAATCAAGCTCATTATGTTATGGAACCAGAATAATCTGTGTCAGCTGATCTTAAGGTTGCTACTACTAGATGGATAGTAAATAAATTTAAATATTCTGGTCAGGCTTAAAATTTGAAGAAAGGTAATACTGTGTTTTTGCTACAATTTATCAAATAGATTCCTTTATATCAAAAATATTCTTTGATGGCTTTGACTAAAATTCCTTATTTATTACTTTCAGTTATTGAAGGAAGGTGTTAAAAGGCAAATGTTTTCTTTGAAGCATTAAAAAATGGACACAATCATCATTTACTGAACTAATATTTCTCAGTGCCTCCTACCAGGCATCAGGTTAAGATTTGATAATGAGGTGAAATAATCCCTTTGTATATTCCTGAGAAACTGGAATATAAGGCAGGGACCCAGGACACATCTAAAACATGGAGTTCCAACACCCAGGGAAGGCACAGTGGCTGAGTCAGTGTAGGTAGGTTCGGACTCCCGGCAGGTAGTTTCACTACTGGGCCACTAGTTGCCCTGAAACTGGATGTGAGGAAGCAGGTACTGAATGATGGATGGAGAGATGGAATTAGCATGCATGTTCATCTTCTCAATTTTGCCTAGGGTAGGTCCAGTGTGGGCAAACAATTTTTAATGTATGATAGCAGTAAGACTAACTTTTACTTTTTTCTCTTTTTAAATAATTATTTTGCCTGGGCACGGTGGCTCATACCTGTAATCCAGCACTTTGGGAGACCAAAGCAGGTGATCCACCTGAGGTCAGGAGTTCGAAACCAGCCTTATCAGCATGGAGAAACCCTGACTACACTAGAAATACAAAATTAGCCAGGCATGGTCGCGCATGCCTGTGATCCAAACTACTCAGGAGGCTGAGTCAGGAGAATCACTTGAACCTGGGAGGTGGAGATTGTGGTGAGCTGCAGTGGAGCCATTGCACTCCAGCCTGGGCAACAAGAGAGAAACTCTGTCTTAAAAATAATAATTTTTTTAAGTTCCAGGGAACATGTGCAGGATGTCCAGGTTTGTTACATAGGTAAACGTGAGCCATGGTGGTTTGCTACACCTATCAACCCATCACATAGGTATTAAGCCCAGCATGCATTAAGTTTTTTTCTGATTTCTGCTGCTTCCTATAACTACAAGAGTGACATTTGCCTTGCCAATGAGGGTAGACAATGATGGGGTTAACTGCCATTTCCTGAACTGGATAATCTCACTCAAATGAGCAAGTGTGTGTGTGTCAAGGTAAGATGGGTGGTATGTGGCTATAACAGAGTTCACTCACAGAACCATTGCATCTGGAAGCCTCATTCTGCTTTGCCAGTCCTCTGTCCATCTCACACGTCATATAAATAAACATATGCAGGACTTCGGATACTTCATTAAGTATCCTTGTGAAGAGAAACTAATTCTTCTTTTCACCAAGTTCCTGTCTACACACTGTATCTTGTGTTGAGAATGTACACGAGTGTGCATGCTTAGATGAAGGAAAGAAGGGAAGATAAGCAGTAAAGTCATTTCTCCCCTTCACAACCTCTCAGCCTCCCTCCCGCTTCAGCAGTGAAGTGAGGAACAGTCACTTCTCTTCAAGTTGAAAATCAAAAGAAAACTGATGGGAAAGGAAAGTGGTATTGGGTGGGTGAAGCTGTAACTAATTCCATTTGGGAATTTATCTTGCTTTTGGGAGTGAGTTGAAGGTTTGTTTTTCTTCCTTTGCAGAGTAGTGGAGATGATTAATGTAATGACTCAAAAGAGGAGAGGTATGCTATACGGACTAGTATTCCAAACTAGAGTTCCTCCTCTGTTAGCTGGAATGCAGGAGGCTGGGAAACGATAGTCCACTGGTGTAAAAGGAAAAGCAACAGTCATCCCCCTGGTCCCCTGTGTTGCCAGGACCCAGTTCAGTCCCTTTCCTGTGGCATGCTCTGTGTAAATGCTCGCTCCAGCCTCAATTCACTGGCATACTTTGGGACCAATGGTAGGTTTTCTAAGCCCTCCACAGGTATTCAAGAGTATTATGATGAACTGATACTTAATTCTGTCATATTCTAGCAAGACAGTTATATAAATTAGATTTATGAAGAAATAGTCCCTGTATCAGTTTGTGGATTTAGCTACTGTTGCTGTTACTTATCCACTCAGTGCAGAACACTGAAATAACCATAATAATTTAAATTTATGCAACACTTTTTGTTTCCATTTTCTAGACTATGAACTCTTATTTCGTACTCACAACAGAAGTAAGTATCATAGACATTACTATTGCTGATTTGGAGAGGATAGTGAAGCCAAAGCCAATAGTTGTGGCAAATCTGTCTCCGAATTTCTTGTTAAAATCTGTCTCTAGTTTCTAACCAGCTGGTCATGTGTATCATGTCATTAATAGTATCCTCAATAGCAGTTTACATCCTTTCTTAAATGGTTGATTATTCCAGTGACATTGCAATAAAAAGCACTAGAAATCAATGTTTTCCTCAAATTTGGAAATTATTTGTGTGATACAGAGGCCACACAGATAATTACTTGTTCCAGTTTGGAACAGGCAACATCTATCACTTATTTATTATAATATGAAGAGAATTTTAAAAGTAATCTTCCTTGCAAGTGCCACTAGAATATATTAAATCTAATAAAGTGATGCATGTATATTTCACATTTTATTTTGCTAAAAGCAGTAGATCCAGAAATGAATAATTCACAAATTCTTAAGTAACAAATCATTTTTCGTATCACATATTTCATCAGTGTTAGATTTTTCACAAAATAACTCAAAGAAAAGTGTAAACTAAATCTTTTCCATTTGAGACAAAATCCAATGGCAGGTGTTTTTTGTAGACTGTAGCATTTTACTGACAAGCATGTCAAAACCTCTCATATGGAATCAGTTTCGTATTTTTATTTTTAAATCCCTGAAATATAAAAAAGCAAGAGCACCCTATTCATAGACTACAAGTTCTTTTAGTACAGGGACCTGATGCTGTTTGTTTACAGATTTGGAAACAATCATGCATACATAATGAAAAATGAAATTTTAATTTTCTCTTTTTAAAAACATTGCCGTTGAACACTTAAGCTATGGCTGGTGTATGAGTCAAAAGGATGACTTTCCATTTGTATATTTTTGATCCATTCATCTCCACACTATCACCAGGGTTTGTGAACTGCTTTTTAAAAAGCACAGGGAAGCACCTGATATCAATGTGTGTTGGAGTGAAGATCAGGTCAGAATGAATGGAGGCCCCACTTGTTCCCTTTCAATCAACTTCATGGTCGCTTAATTGTCAGCTCATAACTGACATGATTTCCATGGACCTTGACTTTTCAGGTGTGTTGTGGTGCCCTTCTCTTCTCCCAGCTCACCTCCTCAAGGGCTTTATGGCCCTGAATCGCAAAACTTGAAATAAGATCAGCCTGTTAAGCTATCAGCACCAATAACATCAGCTGATTGGCCAAAGGCAGAGAAATTCTCATAAAGGATGAGGTACTTTAACATCTGATTGAATGGCTCAATAGGAATCACCCACCTGAGATTTGGTGGGAAGGAGGTGGCCAGTCCAGAATGCCTGCATCTCCAATTGCAGCCACCAGGTGAAAAGGGGTGAAGGCTGCCAGAACACACAGTTGAACCTTGCTTCTATTATTTTCCTTACAACAGGTTGAATTATTGATAGGAATATATTTCCCTAGAGTTAAAAAGAATTCTGGCCAATCCATTCAAAATAAATTTAGGAGAGTTCTTTGCATCTTCCTAGCCTCTTTGTCTCTGCCTCACCGTGATGATACTAATAATTTGATTTCCTCATATTTTCATCTCTCCATGAACAAATGTATCTGGCCTCTGGCCCATCTCCCACTCATTTTGATTTTAATAAGAAAGGATAACTCAGAAAAGGGTAGAAGACAGAGCACATAGCACTCCTCTATACCCTTTGCCATTTTCTATCAAGCCTAAATAGGAAGCAGCCAGAATTGTCCCCACTGAGCTAGACACGACCTCAGGCAGCAGCATGAATGTGACAACTGAGGGGCTGGGAGAGCCCTGAGCTGGGCAAGTGGCTGAGAGAAGCCCTGAAGCAGAGAAAAGATATGGGCAACAGAGGGAAAAATGTAGAGAACAGAAACAGCAGGAAGGTGAGGAAAATAAAATTGAAAAATAAATAAGAAATAAAAGTGCCATAAAGACAGAAACCACAGCATATTGGAAGAAAAACAACACAGAAAGAAAAGAAAGGATGTGATCAGATCAGAGTAATGAAGGCAGGCAGTCAATATCGAAGTGAGAAATAGGACCAAAGGGACAGTCAAAAGCTAGCATTGATGAAGATGACAATGGTAATTGCAACCTGGAGAGGTACAGAGAAGAAGAATATCAGGGAAGAAAAAGGAAAAATAGAAAAGGTGGCAGTGACAAACAGAATAATTATGAAAATGATCTTTCTCACCCTGTAGAAAGAAAAACAAATATGCTCAAGGTAATTGTTTTCCAAGGGGGCCTGGGGGAGGGAGGGTGGCGAGGGCCTCTCAATCTCTGGGCTTCCCTCGCTGGGTTGCTTGCATCCGTGAGGGTAGAGGCTGCAAATACGACGCATTAGAGATGAGTTGGGACAGGGTCCCCACCTTACCCCCGCACACCTTGTGCCCCTTTAAAATGTCCTATGCATGCAAATGTTGACTGTTTTATTTGCAATAGTGTCCCTATGAAACCCAGCCTGTTGGAAAATCTAACTTTTGTAATTTTCTTAAGGCTTGTTAAGCCACAAGCTGCAGGTCTGGGACAGCCCTAGCTGCAAGTTAAGGGACAGTCGTTCTTCTTCATTTGCATCATTTGCATCGGTGTTTTCTGGAGGGAAAGGAGGTAGTTCTCGCCCGTGTTCTGGGGGCAAAGCATTGGCTGGTCAGCACCTGAACAGAACCCCTTCCTTTGGGGGAGTGAAAAGAAAGATGCCAGGAAGCACCCATCTAGCTCCCACCGTCTGTACTTACGTCGAGGAAGATGGACATGCCCTTGGACAGCTGCAGGGCAGAGCTGAGCTCCTCCGAGGAGTTGTTGGAGGATGGCGATGTCTCCTGGGAATCCTCCATCCTCTGCAGCCCTGACCACTGCGGGCGGAGCAGGGCTAGGCGGACGCACCGGCTCTGGCAAGGGCGCGGCCGTAGCTGCTGCTTTGGCTCCGGATCCGGGTGGATGTTCGCTCCGGCGGGCGCCTCCCTCCGCGCTCTGTGCGCTCAGGGTCCCCCTCCCTCCTCCAGCCTCTGCGCTCCCACGCGCTCCGACTCTCGCCTCCCCCTTCTCGCGGCTGACGGCTCTGGATCCGTGTCATCCTCGCACTTAGCAACGCGGAGGGGAGCGGGCTCTGCCCCTGGCACGGCCATTGGCCACTGCTGGAGATAACCTGGGGGCCCCTGCCCACCCAACGACGGCTCCAAGTGCACGGACTGAGGAGGGTTTTAGGAGAGAGGGACGGATGGCAGGGCATTTGTCCTGAGCAGCCAAAGCGCAAAGTAAGGACTCCCCAGCCTCACCTCAGAGTGGATACCATAAGTAAGAAGGTATTCTGACAGGTTCTACAGCCGCTTTGCTTTTGGTCCCAGCGGCCTCTCCCCCTTACCCTTCCCAAAGGCAGAGACGGCATTGATGGGTACCACCAAGCAGGGAGCAGCGGGTTTGGTGTAGGGATTGAGCCATTCCGTGTTATCTTGCGCTCTAAGAACTTACTAAACCTGTAAGCCTCAGTTTTCCTCCTCAGTAAAATGGTCATGGTGGTCTCACCTCAGAGGGTTCTGAGGCTTACCTGTGTCGGTACTGCTGACAAAGGCGGTGCTATGAACTCTGCCCAGAGTAGGCTTCAAAACGTTTGCTCTGGGGCAAGGATTGTTAGGTAATGTTCAACAATGCAGTTTTCCAAAGTCAGGATAAGACGTGGTCCTTATCTGTGTTTAACCATTTAAACCACGGTAATTATTCCATATGTGAGGGTCTCTGTGAAGCCTGTAAAAATAGGAAGTTGACCACAACTTTCATCAGGAAAGGGATCCAGTTTATTGGGCATCTAAAATGTGTATGTGTCGGTTACAAACTTGAGCTATCTGGGAGCAAGATAAGGCAAAAAAGAAAGAGCCTTGTCTACACACAAGACTCTGCCTCTGCCAGTGAGAACCGATAGAGAGGATCCAGATCTCCTTTTTGTATCCTTCAGAGGAAAATAAACATGTTCTTTCTATAAGACAAGCCCGCAAACAACCAAGGTACCGATCGACATGTGAGTGTCTTAAAGGCATGTAAAATGTGCTATGGGTTCTTAGGAGGGACGGTTACACTCTGACTGTGGGGACCAAGAAAAGCTTCATATAAGAAGCGGTGTATGAAATAGACCTCAAAAATCAGTAGATATTCCATACTTGATAGAAACAGAAAGAAAATACTTCCAGGCGGAGGGAACAGCATAAGCAAAGGCATGGTACCAGGAAAGCACGTGGAAGCTGCAAGTAGCCTAGTGGGGATTTCTATAAATATACAGAATCCCAGATCCTACCTGGGCTTTGCAAATCCCAATATTAAAGTGCTGTGTAGTCCAGGAATCCAAGTCCCCCTCACTCTAATGGTTCATACACAGTTGCTCTGTAGCAGGGTCAGAACTAGGTGTGACAAGTGGGGACTTTGAGCACAGAATATAAGGAAGCACTTGCTCTCAGGCCCTACCCTGCGCTCTCATGATCCCGAGAGTGACTTTCTTAAATTTTGCACTCTAAGTATCTCATTCACTTCACCCAAGTCCCACTGCTGCTTTGTAGATGGGTGCTTAAAAAAAAAAAAAAAAAAGAATCTAATAGTTCTCAACTCTGCCTGTACATTGGAATCACCTGAGGTGTGTGGCAACTTTAAAATTTGCCCACAAATTCATTGACATTCTTCCTATAGAGAGGTGGGCCCCCTTTCCTTGAATCTGAAAGATTGTGACGGTTTCAATGAGTAAAATGGAACACAAGTGATGCTAGGTGCATGGATGCCTTTGCAATTCCACTTTTTACAGTGGATTTGCTCCTGAGTTCCTCAACTTCTATATAGGAAGTTTTTCTACCTACAGCCACTATGCTTTGAGGAAGCCCAAGCTATATGGAAAGGTACATGTAGATACCTGGCTTATGGTCTAGCTAAGCTGAGTATTTGCATTATTCCAGCCTCAGCAGCGGGAACGTCAATAAGGAAGCCTCTGAATGACTCCAACACCCAGCTCTTGGAGACATTCCTAGCCGTGTGAGTTGTCCCAGCCAAAATGCTGGACATCATGGAGTAAAGGCACACTGCCAGTGCTGTGCCCTGTCAGAACAGTTGGCACACAGAATTGGGAGCATAATAAATGTATACTGTTTTATATAAATAAACATTGGGGTGGTTGGATTTGTAACAATAGATAACCAAAATAAGGAATTAACCCTCCCCGCACAAACACATACATATCAAACCGATGCCTGTGTTTCATCCTCAAATTCACTTCCAATTAGCATGTGGTGGACCCGGGGCATTAACGTTTGTTTGTTTGAAGATTTCCATGTGATTCTGATGTGCAGCAAGGATTGAGAATCACCAAATTTGTGCTGTATATACAGTACAGAAAAAAAGTAGAATAAAATCTCAGAATATAGGCAGAGGCTATAGGATGAAAATCTGTGAAGTCCAGGGATAGGACTAATTAGGTAGAGAGTTAGAGAAATTAAACTTAATCAGGGGAGAGATATTTATGGGAACTGTTCTTCTGGAATATTCATCTGGCATCTTTACGTGCATTTTCCTAATTAACTGCAAATTCCTTTACCTAAACTGTGAGAATAGACCCTTCTCTTTAACTACTGTTAATCAAAACAAATACAAAATTATTTTAAAAAACCATACTGGTCAACCCATCAAATGGACACTGGACATTCAAATCACTGAAGGAGAAAAACCAGAAGAAGGAGGGGGGCTATCAACCATGAACATCAAGTTACTGAATTTATTAAAATATGTTGTTTATCCCTGCCATTGGATGAAGAACTGAATAGTTTTTTTTCTGCAAAATGCAGTTTAAGTCAGACCCCTCTAACCCAAGTTGTAAATGTTCCTCAGCCCTCAAATTCAACCGCACAAGTGGTAATATTTTTATGCCAATCCCATGGTAACAAGAACAGGTAATAAAGGAGACTTTCTCTGATTACAAATGAAGAACAGGAGAATAATCAGCAGTCATGATTCAAAACCAGGAAGCTGGTTGTAACACTTCGGTAAAAACATTCCTTTTCTCTTCACTGACAATGAATGACATTTTCTGTACCTGTGGCTTTGCTTATTTCTTCTAATGGTCCATCAAGAAGGAATATAAATTATTAAATAACCAACTGGTCATTATTTATTTTTATGATTCCTGTGTGAACACAGGAATACATTCTGCTATAGCTGACTAATAGAAATGTAATGTTCATGGAAGGCTCTAGTAGAAATAGATGGCAATTAGATTCACATTTACAGACAAATTCAATAGGCCCTACAAAGTGGTAACCAAACATATTTTTATAGTTTTCTTTTTATCTACACAGCATGCATTTTTGAAAATAGTTTTCACATGTTTTTATGAAACACAGGTGCTGCACTGCTGTGCACAGTATCAGTTGCAAACAGCAGACAAACAACTTGAGGGAGGAAATGCAACTTCTTTGTAGCAAGGGCCTAAAAAAATAGAAATATAATTCCGATTCCAGCTCTCAGGCTTCCTGTGATAAGACTTTGACACGAAGTATTTCTAGCATTTCAGGAGATGATAGCTGTGTGGGAATATATTGTATTTCAATCCATCTCTGCCTCGTAGACGAACTATTATCTAAACTATTTCAGACAGCTAGGAATCTACCTTATTTATATCTCAAATTCTAGGGAAGGTTATCCTTCCCTTTTGAGTAATGACTCAGAATCCTTTTGGTGAGGTTAGTGGACATTTTTGTTGCCTTGGGAGCTTAGGATCTAAATCCCCTTCCTCTCTAAGTGTCTGTCCCCATGGTGCAGGTCCTGAATGGGGGCAGAAGTCACCACATCTGCAGGAAAGGAAAAGATCCTTCTCTTCCCTGGTAGCTGGAGCACAGGCTGAGAGCTAGGCTCAGCTGATAGGTCACTTCACTTGGGTGTTCAAATCTGAATCCAGGGATGTGCGGGGAAGTTTATTAGTGGCAGTAGACACATTGTGGTGTTGAGTATGGCCACAGTGCCAGGGGAGCCCTGAAGATGATTTAATCAACTGGATAATGGCACTCTATGATTTCAGCAACCCTGTCCTCCAAGCTTGATCTCCAGGCTTCCTGCTGACTTAGAGACCTAGTGTTCTTCCAAAACTTTCTTTTCTGTTTTACCTTAGTCAAAGTTAGTTTTTTATGTTTGAATTCTGACAGAAAAATTCAATCTAAATTTCTAGTGTTAAAGAAGTCCATTGTGAGGTCACTGGAAAAAAATGGTTAAAAAATTTAATTCTTTTCAGACATTTACTGAGTGCTTGCTTCATTCCAGGCAACTGACAGGCAAGCTGGGGAAATGATGAAAAGGACTGGTCCTTGCCTTTGCAGAACATAGACAACTTAAGGAGAGATTATTGTAATAGATAATATTAATGCAGTGAGACAAGAGTAACTCCAGATGTTTTCAGTGAAGGTAAACACCAGATGAGGCAGGACAGAGGAAGGGACTCCTTCCCACGAGTACCTATTCTGTGTGGCCACATTGCTGTCTACAGCCCTAGGCACTACGGATTTTCCACTCCTTGAAACTCTTGCTTTTTCTTTCTGATCATGTTCCTCCTACTCCCTTTAGTCTTCAGGGAGTCTCCTAATTCTAGCCTTCTAGATGTTACGTTTCCTAAATTGTACCCTAGCTTCATCTGTTCCCTTCCCATTTTTGCTCTTTCTTTCCTCCATACACTGATATTACCCAAGCCTGTGATTTTCCACCTGTAGGCTGATGACTACGTAGATTTATATACCAGTTTGACTGGTACACATCTCCTTATGAATTTTTGAATTGAGGCATATTCAAAAAGGAATTCATCATTTTTTCCTAATTATTGTATGCTCCATCACTTGTTGAATAACATCAACCTTCACCAATTCATCCAAAAGAGAAACCCCAAAATAATCTTGGACTCTTTCCCTCACTGTCCCTCACCCTACCTCTATCCCATCTTCACATCTCTCTAATCAGTTGCAAGGGTTATCTTTGGAATCACCCCTCTCCTCTCCACCTCTATCACCACTATATAAGACATAAGAACTGTCATCTCTCACCAGGAGCAGTGCCCAGCTGCCCGTCTGGTTTCTGTGTCTCCAATGTGGCTCTCTTCTCATCCGTACTTTATCTTTTCCACAGAGGCTTCTAAAATGCACATCTAAGCAT